TTGGTCTCTGTGCCCCCCACCCCGTCTTAGTTCACATGGTTTTATAATAAGTCACGAGATGTGACAGGTCAAGTCCTTTAGTGCTGGGCTGCCTGCCCGGTTGTGTTGCTCTTCGTGGCCAATGGCATTCCTAACCTCAGAGCAGGGTCGTCAGATTCCACAAAGCCATCGAGGTCTTGATGGGACGTATTCAGTCTGCAGGGCAACCCAGGACGTGACATGCCACACCCTTCCTGATTTATCTCCTATGAAATAAAAAGTTCCTTGAACAAAAGTTGGTACATATTTGTTTCCCTTTATTTCCAGATAGTTTATGATTCTGGGAGCTAATATAAACAATATTATTTTTGTATTTATTTTTCATTTGATGCTGGTGTATAGAGTTTTACATTTTATCTAATGATTTTGCTTAATCCGTCTATTAATTACAGTGGTTTATATGTACATTCTTCTGCGTTTTCTGTACCCACACCATGTCATCTGTGAATAATAGCAGTGTTATTTCTTTCTTTCCCAAGCTTCTCTATTTTATTTTTCCAATTCACTGTTGGGTGACTGGCATAACGTGTGTTAGTGAAGGTCTGTGCTCCAACCATTGACGTACTCCTAATTTTTTTTAGTTTTATTTAAAAACAAGCTTATGGTTTTAAAATCCATGTAATTTAGTTTATTGCTGATATATTTGGGTTTGAATCTAGCAGCTTACACCTGACTTTCCATTTATGGACTCTCTTAAAACTTTTAAAATTTTTTTTCTTTTTTGGCTTTTTTTTTAGATAATTTTTTTAAACCAAAACAAAGATCCCCTCTATTATCTGTGCCCACATGATAATGTCGGCATTAGAGTACCCAGTAGGCTTCTCCACCTCTGCCCGTCTACAGTGCCAGAGCACTGTGTGGGGGTGTTGTCTGTGTGGGGGTATTGTCTGTGTGTGGGGTGTTGTCTGTGTGGGGGGGGTATTGTCTGTGGAGGGAGTTGTCTGTGTGTAGGGGTGTTGTCTGTATGTGGGGGGATATTGTCTGTGTGTGTGGGTGTTGTGTGTGTGGGGGGATATTGTCTGTATGTGTGGGTGTTGTCTGTGTGTGGGGGTGTTGTCTGTGGGGGG